GATTTTTGATCATGTAACTATGGGGATGCTGCAATGGTCATAAGTGTGAAAAATGGCCATAAGTTCCTTTTTTCAATCCCACTATAACTTCAAATGGTCACTAAATGAACTGTGGTAAGTTGACAATTACTTATAGTCTTGAACTGGCTTGTGTAGGGCAAGAATTATGTGTGCAGTAAATGATGAATTTTCATAGGAACCTTGTCGAATAAAAGGAGGAATCTATGCTGGCTTAGGCTATAGATATGAAGCCAGTTTCATATGCATAAAACCAGGATTTGGGAGGGGTTCCTTTTTCTTGTTAAATGTAGTACATCCACCTCTGCCCGAGATACAACATTTGAATTGATGTTTTGACATTTGATACAGGGTTTGTCCAGCGTAACACCTTTCAAGAACATAGAAAAGTGGAAGTGAAAATTGAGAATTGGGAACATTTTCCAATGTACTTCTGTAGAAAAGAACTGTCAAGCGGTCATTCCAGCCTGAGCACATTCAAAATGCTTAAAATGTGACTAATCTGTTTTTTAAATGGGCAACTAAGTTATTACATCACTTGCCTTGAATTTTTGAAAAAAAATTCTTGCCTGTGAAAGACCACATATCTTTTGGAGTCAAATGTCAAGAACCGTTATATGCTAAGCATATGCAGATGAAAGACAGCCCAGTCCAAAGTGGGCATGGCAACATTTTTTTCTGTTTATGCTCAATAGCTTGACAGAAGGATCTAGTTGCTTGTTAGATTGTTAAACTTGGTCAAGAGTTTTTGAAATTGCTAATGCAAGTTTGAATCTAAAGTTTGAATATAAAACACATCAATGAGGTCACTGCTTCCCATTTCTGTAGTACGATCTTCTAAATCTAGGAAACGATATCACTCTTTTTAATGAGCTAGGTATCATCAGAAAGTACCTTAGCCAAAACTTAAAACAATTTGTCCATTTAGCTCAGTATTGTCTGTTTTGATTGACAGGGACTCTCTAAAATCTCCCCCCCAAATTAATTAAATATTCCAGAATCTTTGACAAACCAATCATGTGTTTTACCAATGGCCTAATTATATGTTCATACTTTGTCTTACAATTTTATTTTTCCAGGTTTGTTCATTATTTCTTTTAGTTTGGATGAATATAACATTGCTTTCATTTGTTTTTGTTTTTTTAATTGTTCATGGTTTGGAATCTGCATTGTAGAGAGGCTCTTCATTTAGTGAATTTGAATAATGGTAGATTATCAGTAAAATAAGTGTAAATATATTTAGGAATCTATCAGCGAACATTACTTCGCACATTTCATTGCAGCCTGGCAGCTGAACCATTTGGGGTTATGGTATTACTTAAAAAATTATTGTGAAAGAAATCCAAAAATGAAATCAGACCTGTAAAGTTGTTCAATAAACAGCTTCATGTTGAGTCTGCTTATTCAAGTAAGTGAGTCCCATGATTTCCTAGTAAACAATGCATAAGTAGTCATTGACTTATGACCATAATTGGTATCAGAATTTCTGTTGTTAAGTGATGCAGTTGTTAAGTGAGTCATGCCCAATTTTATAAATTTTTTGCTACCATCATTAAGTTAGTCATGCTGTTGTTAAGTGAAAGCAGCTTCTTCTATTGACTTTGCTGGTTGGAAGCCCCCTTGGGAATGTCACACCTGACAATCGCCTGGTTCTGGGATGCTGCAACTATTGCAAATGCACACCTGGATTTTTTTAACCACAGGACTGCAGGAATGCTGCAACTGCCATAACTCACTCTTTTAAAGGGCCATCATATATGGCCACTAGGTTGAGGACAACCTGTATTTTAATATCTGAAACAAAGCTGTAAAGGATCCTCATATTTTTATAAATTAGGGGAATTTTCTAATTTCCTAATGAATGCACATGTATGTTTTTCCAATTAATCTTCTGCCTGTAAATGATCAAATTCAGAATGAAGCAAAAGGCTTTGCAATAGCACTGCTTCACAGAGTCTAGTGTTAGGACAATGTAAAAACAGACACTTTTAAGAGTCACTTTCATAAACATTCCTTGACCTGGATTCCATCTGTATTATCATAATCATTACAACTCAAGTGCTGCGTTGTATAAATGTATGCAGAAGGAAACAACAGCGGTACTGTAATCTCAATTTTGGTGTTGATTGTAGAATGGTAGAACAAGTCCCAAGCTATTTTGCAGTAGACAAGAAAAACATAGAACAACAGATTTGGGAGGGACCTTGGAAATCATCTAGTTCAAACCCTGCTCTAGCAGAAGACCTATCATACCATTTCAGACAAATGGCTGCCTAGTCTCTTCTTAAAAGTCTCCAGTGATGAAGCACCCACAACTTCTGAAGCCAAACACCTGCACCTGCACTGATTAATTGTCACTGTTAGGAAGTTTCTCCTTAGTTCTAGGTTGCTTCTCTCCTTGATTAGTTTCCACCCATTGTTTCTTGCCTTGCCTTCAGGTGCTTTTGAAAATAGTTTGACCGTCTCATCTTTATAACAGTCCTTCAAATATTGGAACACTGCTATCATGTTATCCTTGGTCCTTTTTGCCATACCAAATTTTTCATATGTTTTAGCCCCTAGACCTCTAATCATCCTTGTTGCTCTTCTCTGCACTCTTTTCAGTCTCAGTATATTTTTATATTGTGTTGACCAAAACTGGATACAATATTCCAAGAAGAAAGACTTAGGAGAGGAGTAGAAGGACAGCAAATAAGAGAATTGTGAGAATGTTGTGTCTAAATCTATTTTGTAATAAAGAGCATGTAGAGAGTATGAAAATACTCTATTGAGAGTATGATAGAACTTTTGTGTGCTAAGCCATAAAGTAGTCTGCATGCTTAATCTGACACCAGTTAGTTAGGTTTATTCAATAAACCACATGTATGGCTTCTTCAATAAACCATGAATAACAATGTTAGATATGGGTTTAGTAAAATACAGATCATTATTTCTTTTTTTTTAAATAATCTTTATTACACATTTTTCAAACATTTACACTACATTTTCATTTCTGACAGTACATCAGAGTCACCTTCTTTCCTATTTACATAGTAATACTTTCATTTTCATTTTCAGTTCCTGGTATATTTCTCTAATATTTGTACATTTATATTTACCTTTTTATAATTCCTTATATACACATTTCCTGCAAATCTTAAGTAATTGTATACATATTCTTTACTTTTCTCCTCTAGCCACTCATACCATATGTCCCAAATCTTATAATATTCTGTTTCCTCCTTGTCCCTCAACTCCATCGTTAATTTGTCCATCTCTGCACATTCAAACACTTTTTTAATTACCATATCTTCCGTAGGGACAGGTCATTATTTCTAAGTCTACTGAAGGCTACCGGTAACTCTTGCTGATAGCCTTTGAGGTTTCAGGAAAAAGGCATCATGAGATCCATCAAACTCGGGTTTCCCCCTTTATTCCTGCTAGTTATTTAATGCTGATTTCTGCTCAGTGTACAAAGTTAGTCTAAGTAGGCTGAAGCTGGCAAGTACAATCTAGTATAATCTGTTCAGAAGGCCCCACAGCAATTTGGTTAATTAATGTTACCAGTAAACTAGGAAAACATAAAGATTAGCATTTAGTTCAGTCTGAGATAACTGCAGAAGCTAACTTGGAATCATTTTTCTCTCTAGTTAGAAATTGTTCCTCCTGCAGTCATATGCTGGGGATTCACAATTTTGAATTAGTGCTAAAATACAGGCAATCTGTGCACACATACATAATCTGTGCATATAAATCTTGCATGCTTGATTTTAGGTTTTGAAAATATTTTTTCAAATTTGAGCCTGGTTGAAGGTAAATGTAATCAATTTTTTTTCAACAAAGTGCAGAATTTAAAAAGAGAACAGTATCAGGATATATATACAGTAAATGTGGAGTCATTCAGCCCAATGGGAGAGGATGGTCTTCAAGGACCTATTAGAGTTCAACAAATTATTGACCCTCCAAAGATACAGTAGAACATTCAAACGGGTTTTCTCCTGTTTTCCAGAAAAACACAAATTTTCTGCTTGGTCAGCTGAATCTGACTTCAGTCTGCCTCAATAGTAGGCTGGCAATGTGATGGCATTTCCTTATTGAGGACATGTAAAAGCAACCTAGAACTAAGGAGAAATTTCCTGACAGAACAATTAATCAGTGGAACAACTTGCCTCCAGAAGTTGTAAATGCTCCAACACTGGAAGTTTTTAAGATTAGATAACCATTTGTCTGAAATGGTATAGGATTTCCTGCCTAAGCAGAGGGTTGGACTAGACGTCCAAGGTCCCTTCCAACTCTATTATTCTATTCTATTCAAGAAATAAAGAATGAGCTGTCTCATAGCCTGGATAAGGTGGCTATATGGATGAGCCTCAGAACAAGAAAGACAATACAGAAATCAGTGTTTGTTTTGATATCTTGAGTTAAGCATTTGAAGCTTCGTACAGCAGAGTAATTTACTTCAACTCAGGTCATAAAGTAATCAACAGAATTTTGTTTCAATTTTTCCCAATAATAAGGCCATTTCTGTCACAGAATCCAGATAGGAATTTTTATGGGCAATGCTGCTAGAGCTGATAAACTGACATCAGTAGAAAATGTGAATGTTTTATCCCAAGGGTGCTTTTTTTTCAAAAGGCAACTGGACTTTCTTTGTTTTTTGCTTGAAGACATTTCGCTTCTCATCCAAGAAACTTCTTGAGTTCTGACTGAATAGTGGAGAAGGAAGGATTTATATCCCTTGCAGAATATACTGAAGAAATTACTGGGATGAGAAGCAAAAAAATAAAACCTAGTTGCCTTTGGAAAATGCACCTTTGGGAAAACCATGACCTGGATGACTGAGAATCTCCAGGAACATGTCAGCATTTCACATGACTTTTCTTATCTGCTTTCCAAATTAGCTGTTTCACCTTCTCTTTTAAAAGCCAGTTTCTAGCGGTCATTTAATTACCATAACATATGTTTTAAATTGCATGTTTATAATTGTTTCTTTCCTTTTAAAGGTGGTCATGAGCCATATATTGAAATACATGAGCAACCTAGACAGAGAGGGATGCGTTTTCGATACAAATGTGAAGGAAGATCAGCAGGCAGTATTCCGGGTGAACATAGTACCGATATCAACCGGACGTTCCCATCTATACAGGTATACCTATTACTGTGTCTGCTTTCTCTTTTGTGTACCCCAAACTTCTTTCAAAATTGGGAGTGGGGATTGTTTTGCTCAAAAGGCAAGGATTGTGCAATACAGTACATTGTTTAAGGTCCGCTTTCTTCAGGCAAAATGTGTTGAAAAGCTGCTGGGAAGATTAAATTTGATTCCTCATTTGTCCTGTTCTTATGTTATGAAATCCAAATTATACAATAATCGCATAAATACAAATAATATTGTAAAAGGCTACCCTAAAAAGATGACCCTCAGAATGATATTTTAAAAAGCTTGTTGTAAAGGGACTGTTCTATAGCTTTTTTGCAACTTAACAAAAGCAGAAAGTTTTGCAGTTCTACAGGGGAAAGAAAGATTTCCTAGTTCAGGACTATGGCCATGTAAGTTGTAGCAAGCCATGAACTGTTTAACCATAATTTATTGAATAAAGCATGACCATACCACACACTAGTTCATGTTTCTCAGTCTTAGCAACTTTAATATGTGTGGTCTTCAATTCCCAGAATTCCCCAGCCAGCATGGAGTTAAAGTTAAACTTCTTAAAAGTTCTCAAAGTTGAGAAACATTGCACCATTTCAATGGATAGGCATCCTACAAGTGATAACAACAACAATAACAATATAAATGAAAGCAATAGCAATAGCACTTAGATTTATATATCACTTCATAGTGCTTTCAGCCCTCTCTAAGTGGTTTTACAGAGTCAGTATATTGCCCCCAACAATATGGATCCTCATTTTACCGACCTCAGAAGGATGAAAGGCTGAATCAATCTTGAGCTGGTGAGAATCGAACTCCTGACAGTCAGCAGAATTAGCCTGCAATACTGCATTCTAACCACTGTGCTACCAAGGATAACTTAAATAAACCACAATTTTCATTATGATTCTTGTTTTGCATGAACTCTGTAATAAAGAATAATTATCCTTCAGGTATATTGCTCTGGGACTTTGAGGATTTAAAGATTACAGTGAGCCTTTTGAAGCAAATCTAGAAAAGATTGACAAATCCTCTCTCTCTCACTCTGAACCAATTAAAATAGAATATAGAATCATTTATCCCAGTAGGTGAATCCAAAAGATAAATCCACGAACCACTCATCAGGTGTAGAGGGAAAAGTCTAGTAGTGCCAACAATTGCCAGTCAGGATGTTTGCATACCTCCAGGATTATTTCCTTATTTCCTTATAGTTAATATCAAGGAAGGAAAATCACTGTCATTTAACCTAAACAGCGGAGTGTTTCATAGCTTTGACTGGAAGGGAAAAAAAATCATTCAGAAACATTTGAATTTCTGATGAAAGTCCTGACTAGCCAATTTCCACACTATTGCTCTTAGGCTACCTCCAAGTATCAATCCTTCTTGTCCATTCCTGGATCTCACCAGCAGAAAAATAAAATGGAGAAACAATATCCACTCCAGCCGTACCTGGACTATCTCTGTAGCCATAATATTTGTAATGATTTGTACAGCACCCTTCTCTAATTTATAGATTAGGTAGGACTTTCTTTAGTGTCCATAATTCAGTTACTGTTTGGCTAGGCTAGGTGGGGAATGTTGGGAAGGTATTTAGGTGTTGTGTAAGTTGGAGAATGCCACTGTACAGGTAGTACCACATACTTTCCAATAATCTCACAAAGATTTATCAGATAATTCAATCAGGAGGAAATTCTGATCTTTGTGTGGCGGAATTTTGCCAAAGCATAACCCTCAAAAGAAAAACCATGTTTATCGCAATGGTCATTGGGAGCTTCCTTCACAAGAAAGAGGAACAGTGAACAATGGAAAAGCAAAGATTTTTATAGGGAATTAGAAAAGATGGCAAAACTGACTACTTTGATGAAAGACAAAATCCTATCTAGTTTTATTTCTTTTTGGAGACCACTTTTGGACTTCTTCCTTGTAAAAGATAAAAATGAAGTTTTGATTTTAGGATTTGATAACTAGATTTTATATAACTATACAAGTATTATGCATTTATATTCTTATTAATAGTCATCATTATGCTTGTATTTAACTTAGAATAAGATGGCTTTTCTTATATAATTTTAATGTTATTTTTATTGTTTAATCTGTATATTTTTAAAAGATTTTGTTTTACTTTACTGTAAGAGATTACTATTTATTTGTGTCTGTACTGAAGAAATTTGGAAATCAATCCCCCTTTTGTTTTTGTCACTTTTTAATTTTTTCCCCTTTTTGATCCTCCTTTCGCAGGTTTTTCGCTTTTTGTTATTTTATATCTTATATGACTTTTTTAATTTAATAAAGATTTTTAAAATACATATAATCCTAAAAAAATTTACAGCCACTTTGGACCTGAAGCTAGTGTCTCTTAAGGTTTCAGGCAGAGAAAAGTCACAGAAATAACATCTACCTATTGTTCAGTTTCTTTCCACTAAAGCCATCAGAGATTGAAGCCAAGACTCTCCTGCATTAAAGCATGTACTCTGATAATAAGTTTGATGCTTCCCTGATGGTTTTTTATGAGAAAAATATCCTCATGCAGTTCAGTAAACCTTATCCTCAAATATGTGAGCTTAGGATTATATCTTCAGGCACTAATTCTGTGTCCACTTGCCTGGGAGTAAGCACCACTAATTTAAATGGGGCTGTCTTCTGTGTATAGGTTATGTGGTGTATTAATTGATGAAATAAGTTAGGACACACTAAACTATGGTTTATTGAATAAAGCATCCTGGGTTTACCCAGAAAACCTCAATGTAAAACATAAGGACTGATTAAAATGAAATTGAGCAAGCTGCATTGTTTGACTTAATATTGAACTTAAAAGGTTGTAGGATTTTGGAAAACATGGAAGATCTTAGAATCGTAGAATAGGAACAGGTCATTAAAATATTATGTATCTCTTGGTCAGTGCAGGATTCCTAATCACAGTGTTTCATTTGAACACATCCAGATAAAAGGAGTCATTATTTCACTTAGTAATTATAGCACCATTCAGTACTTTTGCTTTCCTTAACATAAAGCCATTATACTATGTCTTGCATTCTGGGTTGATACGGTATATGACACCTCTTCATATATTTGCAAACCCCTATCATATTTTCTCTCAGTCATTACTGTCTCTCCACAAGCACAGTCCCTGTATACTTTATACACGCTGCCATTTGTTTAAAACGTATATTTACTTCTAAGTAAAAGCAGATCAACATAATTTTGAAATCTATTCAGAATGTGATTTTTCCCCTATATAGTTTTCTGTTGTAATCACTTCTGTAATTTGAGAAGCCATATCTTTTTATTTGTTCCAGTATTGTAATTTTGCATGTAATTATTTAAAGTGAATATGAAATGTTACAGTATCTCTTTTCATTTTAAGCTAAAGTTTGATTTTCTTTCTCTCTTGTGAAATTGAATGATCTATCTCCCCACAAAGAGTGGGACACTTATTTCAGAATCCATGTCATTCAAAGTTACAAAGTTAGGACTTGACACTAGAATATATTTCAATATTGTATCTTTTATACTTGCTAGCTAAGCATATAAACTATGGAAGTATAGTCCTTCTTGTGAACCATCATTAGCAAAAAGGTTATCCAAATAGGTGGTGGCAACAAGAATTAACACAGCAGGATGCAAAGCTAGTGTGTGTAGACCCTGAAGGGCTCTGGGAAAGTTTGTGATTTATAACCTTTCATTCTATCAGCTTAATCATATCATTATATTTTTGCTGTGTGTTTCATTTCTTTTTAGATTCTGAACTACTTTGGGAAAGTAAAAATCAGAATAACATTGGTAACTAAGAATGAACCCTATAGGCCGCATCCTCACCAGCTGGTTGGAAAGGATTGTGAAAATGGTTACTATGAAGCTGAATTTGGGCCAGAGCGTAGAGTTTTGAGGTAAGTAAATGGGTGTTGTTATGTGTGATATGAAACAGAACTAACATTTTTGTTCAGTTTGAGAATTGTTGCAAATTTTTACATGTTATATTGAGTGGTCCCATAACAATAGGCAAGATCAAAACCTATTTGGAAGGTGAGATACAAGCTTCAACTTTCTTCAGGGCATAGAAGACGCCCATATTATTTCCAAACTCACTCCAAAAACACAAAAAAAAAGTGTTAGAAATGATTAGAAATTATTAGAAATGATGCTGGTGGAGCACACTTTTTGTAGCTCTGTTTTAAGTAAGGATATCCATGGGGAACTGGATACTACCAGTAGTTGAAGTATTGCAGCCCTTTTCTTTCCTTGACTTCTTAATAGATACTTATTTAATTGCTAGTACTTTCTACTTCTCTATATGGGGAAAATTAACAAACCTCCCAAAGTATGGCAGACTTAAAGTAGGCCTGTGTCTTGGGTACCAGTTACGAAGTTCTTTGTTAACTATCACTAGCTGAAAATGTAGCAGTTGAGTGAGCATTGAACAGATGGAAAATGCTGAGGCCAATTCTGTTGTACTTATATGCAGAAGGTGAAATATCCTGCCTGAAAGATCTGATTTTTCTTTTCTGTGCATTTCTTGTGATATTTATATATGATATAGTATTTTCTTATGAAATTTAAATATGTTTGATTTCATGTAAAGAGAAAGAGTACAGACACTGGAACCACAGAGTTGGTGTTGTTTTAAAGCTGGTATACTAAAGTGGACAATTACAATAAGCTTTTTTAAAAATTAAATTTATTCCAGAGGAAAACTTTCCAATATGTTTTGCCCAGTGTAAGAAGCTTCCAGCCTTGGGATCACCTAGGCACATCCCCATTTGATTGGTGGGCCTTCACTCCTTGTGTTGCTCCTTCACAATCTTCTTTATATTCCTGTGCTTAATGGGAAGTACACCTTTCTCTTCAACATACTTGGAAGAGTGCTCATACTGCCAGAGCAGGGAGAAAAAACAATATATTTGAAGACTGCTGTATTTCCTTGATGGACAGAGAGAAAAAGGCTTCTATTTCACTCCCTCCTTTCCCTCCCAGTAGAGAAATGTAGAAAGGAAGGTATACTCTAAATATCAACCCAGGTTGCCAAGTGCATCTGAAACAGGAACTTTTGAAGTTCTTCCTCATAATAGGAAAAGAGAACAGTGAAGAAAGCTTATTCCTCAAAAACTGAAGGACTAATAATAGATTGGAAGGATTAGAAGAAACCTTGGAGATAACTGAACAAGGAGAGATTTAACCTAGAAATAAGGAGAAACTTTCTCACAGTGAGAACAATCAACCAATGGAACAGCTTGCCCTTGGAAATTGTGGGAGCACCATCACTTGAGACCTTCAAGAAGAGATTGGACTGCCATTTGTCAGAAATGGTGTAGGGTCTCCTGCTTGGGCGGGGGGTTGGACTAGATGACCTATACGCTCCCTTCCAACTCTGATTATCTGAAGCTTATCTGGAATACTGGCCAGGAGACTAACCCCTAGCCAGTACTGTAATCCACTGCTACATTGTTTCTACTTCATGGCTATCCATGCTTAAATACTTATAGAAACGGGAATTCTACTATCATCTGAGGCAGCATGTTCCACTGCTGAACAGTTTCTCATTAGAAAATTATTTCTAATACCCAAATGAAATCTGCTTCCTTCTCATTTAAACTCACTATTTCTTGTCTTCTGCTGTCATATCTCCCCATGGTCTTCTCTTCTTCAGACTAAACATCCAGTGCCTCCAACTATTCCTCATCAGTTTTTTAACTCTAGGCCTGCTAATATCTTGGTTGCTATTCTTTGGACATGCTCCAGTTTGTCAGTGCTTCATAAAGGTGCCAAGCCCAGTACTGGATACAATATTGTAGGTTGGTCTGACCAATACCAATTAGAACTAATGACTCTTCTTCATCCTGACCTCTATATTTCTATTGATGTTGTCTTGAATTACATTTACTTTTTCGCAGGTGCATCACGCTGTTCATATCCTGCTTGTGATCCACCAAGATACTCAGAACTTTCTGTCATATATAGTTGCTCCGTAAGATTGTCTACTCATGTCTTAGATTTTCTTATCCAAATGAAGGACTTTGTATTTCTCCCTGTTGAAATTCAGCTTGTTGGTTTCTACTCATTTTTTCAGCTCATTATAATCCTCCTGAATATTAATACTTTTTCTAAATTGTTAACTTTTCCTCCTGCCTTTGTATTGCCTGCAAATTGATAATTGGGTTTTTAAACCCATTATCCAAGGCACTGATAAGCATGAACAATGCAGGCCCTTCCGTGTAGGATGCAGCCCAGTGGTATGGCATTGTTACTGCCTTCTATCTTGATGCAGAATCATTGACATACATTTATTAGATATCATTGGTCAACCAGATCTTTATTCGGTTAATGTTGGGGTAATTCAGTTCTATTTTTACTATATTCTCTAGCAAAATTTAATGGAGGACTTTATCAAATGTTTTGCTGAAGCTAAGTTTGAGGTACATTATGTCCACCATATTCCTGTGGTCATATATCAAGAAAAGGAAATCAGATAGGTTTGACATAATTTATTCTTCATAAACTTATGCTGGCTCCTGTCAAACAATGAATTCTTTTCTACATGTTCACAAACTGACTGATCAATGGTCATTTCTAGAGTTTTGACAAGCATGAGCCATGGTAGTACAGTGGTTAGAATGCCGTACTACAGGCTACTTCTGCTGACTGCTGGCCGCCAGCACTTCGGCAGTTCAATTTTCACCAGCTCAAGGTTGACTTATTCTTCCATTCTTCCGAGGTTGGTAAAATGAGGACCCAGATGGTTGGAGGCAAGATGTTTACTCTGTAAACAGCTTAGAGAGGGCTATAAAGCACTGTGAAGTGGAATGTAAGTCTAAATGCTATCACTAGTGATATTAATATGAAAATCACCTGTCTCAAGTTTCTTGGCTCTTCTTCTTTTAGTCCTTTTTTCTTTCTCTAGTCTTCTGGCACTATGTATCTCACCCATGTCTTTTCACAGATCACATAAAGGCCCCCAAAGGACATTCTTACACCCCTGCATGATTTTCAGGTATAATTGAACTGCATTTGAAAACTTAACTGCATTTGTGGTGGCCCAGTGCTCCCTACCTTTCTCTGATTCACCAAGTCCCTCCTTGCTGAAGGAGATGATAGATTTATTACTTCCACAGTTTCTTTGGAATAGCCTTCTTCCTTATTCAGCTGCTTTCTGAAAGTAAACATTATTCAACACAAAGTAATTCAGAGAGAAATTATACTGTGAAGTTGCTGTCATTTAAAAGAAAAGCTGGTTGAACTGAAAGGTTTAACTGAGATTGGGAATTTTTCACTTGCAAGCAGTATGACTTCATTGCCAATGACTGCTGTTCTAAATATTTACTCAAGTGTGTTATTCATGAAAAGTTTTGCTCAGAGATATCACAAACATCACCAGTGGTTTTTATTTATTTTTTTCTTTGTGTACAAATTTACATGGGATGAAATGATTTCTACAGTGTCGAAACTTGTGGAACACTAAGGCACAATTGAAATCACACTTCTAGAGTTGAACAACCTGGGATTTGTTTCTGAGTTTACATATGTAGATTTGGAGTATGGGAAAGGTTGCATATTTGTCTATTGTGGGATAAATTAATCAGTCAGATTTATAAGGCAAATGATTTGCTGTATCTCTAGGTAATATGGCAATTATCAATCCTCAGAAATATCAGCAGTTGGATAGCTGATGTGCAAGATTTTGGCTCTTCTGTAATCTGATTTCTCATATTGCAATTATCTGGTATTAATTCCTATTTTGCATTTACCCTGGGCTGGAGTGATGTCATGGGTTTTCCATGTGGGAAAGAATCAGGTTGCTGGAGTAGGTGGGGAGAGTCCCTTAAAACTGCCTTGTGATCTGATACCATTACATGCAAATTAGGAAGCTGATGCTATTGTTGCTAATATTCAGAATCTCACCAGACAAGTAGCCTGGCCATAGTAATTTTTTCTCATAGCTACATGATTCAGAATCATTCCTCCCTCTCTGTCAGAAAAAAACAAATTTGAACTAATTCTTGGTGGGGTTTTTTTTTTAAAAAAAAACAGGGATACCTGGGGGTAAATGAACAGCTACACTCTGTTAGAAACTTTGAGAAGAAAGATACTTCCCTCTGTGGGAATATATACAATATCATACCTCTCTAGACCATGATCATGTTCCTTTTTCCTTTAAAAATAAGGGGAGGTATCTAGAATCCAGAACTGCCATCCAATCCATGCTTATTTTAGAAAAAATGTTTCACCAAACTCTGAGGGACTTCATTCTAAGCAAATATGCACAAAGTACAGATCTTAGGGATTGAAGAACTTTAAGATGTAATTCTCTATATATCTATTAAGAACCTATTTTGCTCACTGCATTTTCAGACAATGGAATATTGGATTCAGTCTCAATCAGCCAAATCTCTGGCTTTTGGTAAATTTTACTAAACTTTACTTCTACCTGTGTGCACTCAGTAATGTTCCTGGAATTTACTCCCAGGCAAATATATATAATATTGTAGCCTCTTTCTCTTTAATTAGAAGATGAATAATCTAACTGAAGAACATTTAAATATATAAGTGTGCAATTGAAGGATGTTTTTTTTTTAAAAAAAGAGACTATTCTGTGATGTTACTAAGATAGAAAAAGGAAATGTGAAAGATAGTATTGCCTCTGAATAATTCTTGTTTAGAAAGGTTTTCACTGATTATGTCCCATAAAGTCAGTATCGAATTTTACTGACCACACAGATTTTCTCCAAAAGGATCTATTCCTAATCTGTTCCTTAAAGTCTTCCACTGTTGGGGCTGAAATTGAGGCCATCCATCTTACAGTTGCTTGTTCTTTTCCTCTATTTCCTTTCACCTTTTCCAATTTTATAGATTTATTCAGAGAGCTACATCTTTGCATTATGTACCGTAAATAAAA